CCTTGTCTCAAGGTCTAAGTCCCAAGTTACCACAGCGAGAAAGCTCTTAAATGAATACGAAGAGTCTGTCCTCAAGATTAAAATGTGAATTTTTTATAATATTGTGAAGATGTTAGAAAGTCGGCAAGGCAAACTCGACAAGTAGGTGACAGTGAAGTTACCTGCGTGTGATGAAAATAAATTCAGAATCTTCCGTGTTGTTACATAATAGTCATTAAGCCTCTTCTATTAAACAAACGCACATGCAAGATAGTAAATGAAGTGGCAAACATTTTTAAATAACATCTTTAATTAAAGTTTTTGCAAAGGCAAAATATTAAACTTAAAATAGGTCTTAGTACATCAAAATACTAAGTTCTCTAATCGTATTCCAAGCATGGCCTTTGAAACATAATATCCTGTATATCACAGAGGAGCAACCTTGATCTGCAATTGTACAGAATGAATTTTACAAACATAATAAATATATTTACCCCCTTACACATAACAGTATATGTACAACAGCAGTTGACAATAGTAGCTCAGAACAGCAAAAAAGGATATTCCCCCACTCCGTAATCTATTGGTACCCTATGCACTCTGGAACATGTCTCATTGGATGACTGTACATATAGCTAACCCAAGGTAGTTCTTCCTGTTAAAAAAAAAGCTCCTTTTGTTCCACAATGTCTAATCCACCAAATAATAATTAAAAGACACACTGCGTGAACTGCCTGAAAAAGTAGACAACGGGGAAACCAATGGACTGGTTTGTACACATTTCCCAACCAATCACAGCAATGGGAAAACAAGACTTTAAATGCCAGACACCAATACATAACAATACGCAAGTTTCTTTGTCTTGTGTCGTCACTGACCTGAAAGTCTGAGAACTCCAATTTCAGTTGGGGGAGCGTGGGTGGCACTCGGTAAACCCCACGATGCTGTGTAAGGCAGCCCAGTATCAATCCAGTGTGCGTTATCCTAAAACCACTGTTCACTTCCTGGACATCTTACTGCATTCTATTAGGAAGCCTTTGCTTTGGGGGAAATTCTGGGAGGCTTTACTGGTTTTAAAGGAGCTTTTACAAACTGAAGAGATTGAACCAAAATGAACTTTAGTTAACAAGGTCTCTAACTCCTTCGCTGGAATTCAGAAATTTTACTCTGGTAGTGTTATGTGGTGACGTAATTACTGCTAACTGTCAAGCGGTGGAATTATTTTCACAGACTCAATGAAGTTTACTTTAGCACTCCTAATTGTGCAGCAGAAATATAAAAAAACATTTATAAAAAAAAACCTGTTACATGACACAACATGTTCTTTGCTCTTTTGTAGAAACTGTGCTTCAGGATCACGTATCATATTCTTGGAAATAAACTGGGACCACAATTATCCCTTTGAATCATGTTTAGGAAGCCAAATGATATTCAAATGCAACTTGTGAGTACAATGCAGGAACAAGAAGTGTGAAGCCTCAAAGAATCTTGTCACTAACCAGCAACTGAGGGGGAATAAAAAGTATTTTATTTAAATAGTCCAATATAAAGTTCCTTATGTGACTAAATTCTCTATTATCTCCTTAACAGAAAACATATTTCAATTTGTTTTCAACTTAGAGGTTTTAAAATGATTGCACACACTAAAACCCAACAGAAATAGAGCAAAAAATTTGCTTTTCTGACTGAAGCACTGCAGAAATTTACCCTCTCAGGAATCAAAAAAAAAAGTATCATACTGGCAAAACAGGTATTCTGCAAACTTAAAAGGCACAAGACTCCTAATTTTGCCCAGTTGCTCTATAAGTTTCCATCAGCCATCATGGTTATAATTATGAAGTTATCTTTCCCCACTTTTTCCATCATAAAAAGGTGCTCCATTATCTGTGCAAATTTTAACATAAGCCCTCTTGATATCAGTAATTGTTTCCATAATACTGAACTATTTAAATGGGGGAAAAAACCCAACAGCTCAACAACAAGCAAAAAAAAAAAAAACAAAACTATTTCCAAGGGGGGAAAATAGAATCATTTATGAACTATGAACATGGGAATCCCTTGCCCTCTGAAAGGAATGGTTTCTTTGGAACCTAATGAAATGGTCTGTTCAGTTACATTGTTAAAACCATGATTAAAAATTCAAGTACAATAATAAAATTAAGCAAACTACATTCTTACAGCAAGCTGCTACAATAAAATGAAATTAAAACATGCTTTTTGATTTTAAAAAAGGAACACTTGATGTAGCAATAAGAGCACAGCTTGGTATGTTCATGGTTGACTGGCTTTCCGAAAACTTCACAGGTATTTGTATTTGAAGACAAAACTTCCTATCTGAAAAGCATACCATACAATTAGCTTGCAAGAGACTGTGCAAGTTCAGAAAGCTTCTAACATCCTTCAGAACAGGCTAAGCTTAAGTTACCATTAAAGTTCTGCTATCCTTTAAAAATAAATAAAAAGGCTATGCAGCTTCTAGTATATGTACGTGGGTGAAAAAAAAAATCACTAAGATGTATGAAAAAAAAGTGTTCTACATGTAATCTGGGTTCCAGTAGTATAAACAGGAATCTATAGCTAAAGGGATTTTTCTTCCTTTTATTGGTTTGGTTGTGCAGCGTTATGGGAATTTTTCTGAAGTCCACTACTTAAGACTTACTGGTAACAGATATGGAAAAGGTGAGGGAAGGAATTAGATGGTACATTGTTGATTTCATTGCAGTTGTACATAGAAGTGTCAACAGTGGTAAAAAAATAAAAATAAACTAACTGCTTTGTTCAGAAGGAAGCAAACACCGATCACTTTCAGATACCTTGAAGCCCCAAGCCAAAAACTGAATGACGATTCCATTACTTAAGAATGAATTAGAAGAAACATCAATTAACTTGTCATAAAGCTCATGTATGTAGATGGCTTACTAACAACCATATTGCTCTAGACGTAGCTTACAGGCAGTTTTAGTCTGTATCAATGAGAGCACAGGTGTACAAAATCACAGCGAAAAAACCCTCTTTAAAATGTGTTTTGAGTTTTCTACGTACAACTGAGACTACAAATGCACTTGGAGGCAAGTAAATCAGAATGAAAATTAGAGCAGTCGTTACCTACTGCTAAAATACACTTGTGACTTTGTTAATGTTTAAGAAGTTTCATTCTCAAGCAAAAAAAGGTCAGAAATCATGGTTCAAATGCCTGCTTCTGAAATTCTTCTCCAATTTAGCTAAAATTATCTTTGCTGTGTCCTTTTTTCATCATCCTTCCAAGCACCCAATGAAAAGATAAATTTTTCTTGAAATGGTAAGCCACATGAACATTCCTTCCTCAACAGTTTCTGAAGTATAATGCCCATTCCCTCTCCTCGTTCAAAAGGCGCTGCATTTCCGAAAGCAGGGTTTGCCAAGAATAACCTATGCATGAAGAAAAGGTGTTCACTCCTCAGTGAGGAAGGGAAGGAGGGGGGAGCAACCTTGCTGCTTTTCAAAATTTTTCTTGAAATGGTAAGCCACATGAACATTCCTTCCTCAACAGTTTCTGAAGTATAATGCCCATTCCCTCTCCTCGTTCAAAAGGCGCTGCATTTCCGAAAGCAGGGTTTGCCAAGAATAACCTATGCATGAAGAAAAGGTGTTCACTCCTCAGTGAGGAAGGGAAGGAGGGGGGAGCAACCTTGCTGCTTTTCACAAAAAAAAAAAAAAACCCAACCAAATAAAAACAGAAAACCCCAAACCCCAAAAAAACCCCAACACACCACAAAACCACACCTCTGGAAAAGGCAAGTGAAAAAGTGACTACACAAGGTTTAGTGCATCCAACTGCTTGATTTTCTGTTACCAAGACAGTCTAAAGATACTCTAACAGAATCTGTGTTCTCAAAGCTGTGCAGCTCTCTTCATGGAATTACATGCCACCTGGAAACTTTAGAGAGATTCGCTGCTGCAGGTAGCTTATGGCTATACTGTTCAGTAAAGCGAGCTTGGATTAACAGAGTTGTAGCCAGGATGTTAGAATTTTTATGTGAATTTCTACATTAAAAATTTAGTCATTCTTGTGGTCTGTTGAATTATTTGTGGATGTCTGGACTACATACGAGTAAGCAGGTGAAGGAATGCATCTATTATGCCATTACCTACACATTTGATTCAAAAGGTCTCCAAAGCCTTTAAAAAAAAAAAAAAAAAAAAAACAAACCACAAACCAAAAAACCAGAAACTATAGTATTTGTTTTAGTTCAGTGATGCTGAACCACCACCAAACAGCAAGAAGATAATTAACAAGTTAAGCGATCTGACTTTTGTCGGGGGGAGCTACAGGTGCTTAGTATTTAAAAAATACAGCCCTAAATAGAAGGTATCACTTACATGAAAATTAAAATAATTTTGAAATATAAATGATCATTTTACCATTTTGTAACTGCTAGGAACAACAACCTGTTTATGGGGAACCAAACTGAAAACAACAAATAGATATAATAATTAATGAGCATATCAGAATTAAAAATATTTTCCTTATACAAGTTATTTAAAATTTAACACCTTAATTCTTACCCTTCTGTACAAAGCTTGCACGCAGTTTAAGTAACATTCTGACCATCCTCACTACCAAAAGGAAGTGTTCAAAGCAAAGATTTGTACACATAATAAGCATTTTCAGATTAATAATCTATCAAAGGGAAGAGTTCCTTCAATCAGTGGAAGAAGTATTTTAAAATCTTAAATCAAGGGAAGAAAGGGGGTGGGGAGGGGAACAAAGCCTTACATGCTAAATACCAGCTGTAGGTACCTGTATGTAGAATTGATAATTAAGGTATTCCTAACACACAAAACCAGCTCCCAGACAATGCTATAGCTGCTACAGTCCATGGCTTGCTCATCTGAAGTAGTGTCTTTGTTGCCACATTTTACCGTTGTTCCAATACTTTGTTTATTTCTGATGTGCAGATACACATTTTGATTGGAGTATACGTCCAAGTCTTAACCTTTCCTGCTTTTGATTTTTTTTTTTTTCCTTTTACAGGGAGTTTTTTTGTTTTGTCTTTTAAAATTTCACCATTCTGCATCCCCGATGGCTTTGGAAAATACGTAATCTCTTCCATTAAGATTCATGATGCCATCTTTGAGATGAAATTTCCATTTGTTTTTACTTCTGTGAATCTAAAAAGAACAGGGGAAAAAGTTGAACTATTACTCTGTATCATAAATAGGTAATAATGCATAAGTAAATCAAAAGGGCAAGCAAAAATGAAAATAACTAGTAGACATATATCACTAAATTACTACAGATATCTTGAAAATCAATTCTGTATTTAGCTATGAAAAACAGAAACTAATTATGCATATAGCAGTCTTTTCTGTTTTCATTTTTTAGAACAGGGACAGCAACTGTCACAAAACCACGCAAGCACGGAGGCATTCCAAAATCCAAAGCATATAGCACATTTTTAGAGATCGTTGGAAAGGAAGAAGAGAGATGTATATCCACCTGTGCTGCTTTAATTTGATTAAATTATCTTTGATTATGACAACCACAAAACTCCACTTGAAAGCCAGAAATCCCCATTTCAACCACTGTAACAGAAAGACGAACATTTTAAACCAGCCCTGAAAGGGTCAAATACTAAGTTCTGTTATTTGCACCACTTGTCTAAACTCCATTCTGCACGAAAACTAGTTTGATTATGTTAGGTATAGATAGATAGAAGTAGAAAGTTGAACAGGCCTTCTAATATTAGAGTTTGACTCTGGGTTTCCAAAAGTTACGTTTTGCTTAAAAGGCAAGCAGATTATTTACACGGGTTTTACTCTGAAAATCTCTATGGTACAAAATGCACAAACTGATACAGAATATATATTTTAGTCTTATATTCTGTAATTGCTCCTCAACGGTGAGTCACTGTATATGATTTACATTCCAATTCTCATTGTAAAGTGTCAAGTGAGAAAAGTAACATCTCCAGTATTGGGGATGATGGCATGAAGCTTCAACTTTAACCTACAGTCTTTCCCAGTTAAAATACTGGCACTTATAAGGCTTTGTTTAAAATAATTTTGTAAGATTAAGCTGGGAGATCAGTCCAGCTATTTGCAACGACCCCAGAAGTTACTGGGTGGGGGGAAGACACATTCATTCCATTCTTGCTCCCCAGCGAGTGCGTACTGTGGGAGACTTTGACATGATGGATCTTCAGATTATAATGGGATATTCCTGTTGACACAGGGTATGACAAAGAGTAAACAACAGGTTTGTTCATATTCTCTTTACAAAAATATTCCATACAGAATTAACTCTTCTTTCTTCATGCCTGTTCCCAAACAAATACGACCTACAGGAAGCAGGTTGACCAATGTGGCGAAGGAGATCACAGAAGATACAAGGACAAGAAATAGCTGTAGTATTGTAGCTTCAGTGTAAGATACAAGGACAAGAAATAGCTATAGTATAATAGCTTCAATTATCTTATGCCTGCTGAGTAAACAGCAACGTGTAGCACTGAGGCTGGTTTAGGTAATATACAGGCAAGTCCTGCTTCATGAAGAAGCTAAGTCAGGAACCTACAAAACACACAATCCTTTTCTTGGTTCAAGACAGTGTGCAGTTAGGTTAGAAAGCTTAAGTTAGAAAATGTCACCATAACATTTCCCCAGGGGTAGTAAGTAAATAAATCCATTAGAAGTGTTTAACTAAATTTATGCTATGTTTAATTTAAAATTAAAGAAAATGGAACTAAACTCAGTATAAAGGCAGAAGAATAAATTTAGCAAAACACTAAACATCCAACCCCCCCCAAACCCCACATACTGTAAGCACAGAGCAGATAAATACCTGCCACCTATCAAAAAGGGCATCAGAAAGAGCAAAAGACCACCGGTGCAATTAAGCAGCAGGACAACACAATATTCAAAGAATACAAAGATCTTTCAGAAAGCTGAAATGCTGTCTAAAAGAGAAAATATTATCATCAACTTTTGCAGATAAAACATAAAAGTGTAATTAAGTGATCTAAACAAAGTTAAGAAAATTTTACAAAAGGCATAAAACCAAGGAAATCCCATTGCAATTTTTCAATTTCCATCAAGGACAAGAAGTCGCATCATCTACTATTAGTGCTTTAGAAACAAACAGTAAAGTAGCACCAGAACAGATATGACCACAGCACTCAATCAATTACTAATACTATTGTTTGGTCTGTGCTCACTTAAAGCTAAGAAGTCAGTGGCCACAGCAAACAAATGAACAAGGAAAGGTTTTGACTTATATGCTCTACTTGTCCTTCCAAATAGCATTCAACAAAAATCCCTCATCAGAAGCATTTGAGCTGCAATGAGGTAAGAAGGAAGGTCCTTAGACGAATAAATAACTGAATAAACAAGGGTAAGAACACTGTTTGCACAGTGAAATGAGGTAATTCCAGAAGAGATTTGTGCTGGCTGGAGTCTGCATCGTTTAAGAATTCACTAATCATCTGGAAAATGACAAAACATCACTGATGATACAAAAGAACAGTTACTGAAGAGCTGCAGAATGATTTTACTATCCTAACTCATTGTGTAATAAAACAATGGTGGCATTCGATGTATATGAAGGTAGTGACAATGGAAAAAACAATTCCAACTTACATGCATAGAGAAAATGATGGATTTGAGTTGACAATTACAAGTGAGGAATGAAGCCCCAGCGTTCTAAGACTTTTCCATGAGAACATCAGCTCTGTGTTCAGTGGGGTCAAAAGCACACATGAACTATTGCAGAACACTGCTACACCACGTAATAAACTGAAGGTTCACCTATGTTATGAATAGCTCTGATCCTCCCTCAACCTTATCTACCTGTATCAAATAAGATACAGAAGAATAAAACAGGATCTGGAGAATGAAAGTAAGAATAATCAAATGTTTGGACTGCTGTACAAATAACAGCCAAGTGTAGCTCGGATTTCAGAGATGACCGAGGAGGGTTATGATGATCTGCAATATTATAAAAGGCATCAAGAAAGCAAAGTGGAAACATTCTTCTAAATACAGAACTAGGAGGTATCATATGAAACTAATGGGTTAAAAACAGGTCCTCCTCCACACATCACATAATTAATTTATAAAACTTCCTGTCATAAGACAAAGTTTACAAGGATTCAAAAAAAAAATCCAATTAATTTCTGACAAATTAAAGAAAAAATCCTCTGCTGGCCATCTGATACAAAGCCACTATGTGTCTCCCTGAAGATACAGTTCACAGAAAGACGGTAAAATGCTCTACATGAGCATCACTACCTGTTTTGCCCTTGTCTCGTCGTTTCAGAGGCACCCACCACCAGCTGGTGCAGGACACTGTGCAAGAGGGAACTCTGCTCAGAAGGACTGAGCTGATCCTGTGTATTTTACAGAGACAAGCTGAGCGACTATTGTTTGATAAGTGATTAAGTCCCTTCAGAGCACGTGGCGCTAGAGATTAATGATGGACACTGTTCCCTACTGAGTTCTCATTCTTAACTTCTAAGAGGGTGAGGATTTCAGAACAGTTCCTGTTGCTCAGCTTTAGCAGCTCCCAACAAGCTTTTCTGACTGCTATTCTGAGGTCCCTCACTATCCTCACAAACTGCCTCAAAACTAAGTTTTGCATTACAGTCTGGAGGAGACAGATGGCTGGGATGTACATACTGATACCACTTTCCTCTATCTTAAATTCTCGGTTGAATCTGATGACAAATCTAAGCAGAGTCTGGGCATAACTGAAGATTTTCTAATCAACCCATTCTTCGTAATGTAGGAGTTTTTATTCAACATGCTTACAGCTTTTTTCTGCCTTAAGAAGGATCCTTATTCATTGTAGTCCAATTAATCTAGCATAGGAAAAGACAGAAAATCCACACTGAATAATCTTTCTGTATACTACCTCAGTAAAAAGGTGTCCAATATCCTCTAGACACATTTAAAACAATTCCAGACATGGATGAATCCTTGCATATTCCAGGGCAAATATGGAAAAAGAAATTAAGCCATTATAGAGGAAGCAAGACAGTTCAGCAGAATTTAAAGCAAAATACACAAAAGCATTCCACATTGCCATTTCATTGAAGAATGCATAGCACAGAAAGAACCTTCTCCTCCAATAAGTATTCTATCATCAAGAAGAGATATTTTTTGTGATCAAGGAACAGTTTTCCACAAGTCTAAATCATAATGCCTGCTTCCTCCATTCATGGCCACAGCCAATGTACAAACTTACTTACAATAGTTCACTTCTCCTGACCCCACGGGACTGACCTTTTGTTAAAGGCCACAAAAAGACATGATGAAATAAAAGAAAATGCAGACAAATTTTTCTAAGCTTTACTCATTACCAAGTTTAGTGCAAACATGTCACACAAACCTGTTTTAAAAACAAAGAATAGTTAATTCTTATATTACCATTCACATAATCTTTACAGATTTACCTATACTTAACTGTCACAAAGATATTACTCAAAAACTATGACTTGATAGGAAGAACAAAGAAAGTAGAATCCTTGGATTCTGTTCTGTAGAGATTACCTTATCATACTGGCACACAACAACATTTTCTGTATCGAACAGTTCTTGTCCTTCCTCATCACTCACATCATCTTCGCTATTAAGAGGCTCCTGAAATAAACACATACAGAATGTTATGCTGTTTAGCAAGACCAGAGCTGTTACTTTGATTACTCACATGAAGCTACAGTCTTTTCTATGAACTACAGGACCAAAAATGCATTTGAGGTGGGGAGTATTAAGCTTTCCAGCAGAGGGCTGGTGTACATAATTTCCTTCCTGCCCTCCATCCTAAGATGTCCTTACAATTTTAGTCTGGAACTTCAGCGTCCAGGCCAGATTCTGGGCACTGCAGCCTTTTGTCACCACAACCGTTCTTGGTCCTTTACCAAATGTTCTGGTGCTTGCAATTTGTCTTTACAGAAAATTTATCATTATGCATTTTCATTTTTCTAAAGCATCTAAGCAGTGGAAAGGCAGCATTAGTCACATCACTCCCTATGTGCTATTAAAAATAGAAACTCCATGACTTACTCACGTTTGATGTACCACAAACAGAAAGAACACATGCAGAAAGTTTTTACAGAAGGGGGAAAAAAAAGATGCTTTAAGATGATCTTGTGTAGATACATACAAAATAACTTCTCCAGACCTTCTAGAATATATTTTCATGTCCTTTAAAAATTACTTTCATTTTTTCCTCTGTCTGGTAACACTCTGTTCCAGTAGAAATTTGGTGGGGTTTTTTCATCTCATGTAAATAAGAAATATTTCAAAAGCTAAAACAACCTCTAATAAACACCAAACAACTTTTTTGAAGTCTTCTGTATAATCCTAAACTTCCCACCTACTCCCAAATATATAAGCTAAACAGGGGAGATGCTAGTGAGAGAAGAAAAAGGTGTACTAGAGGTCCTAATTCCTTCCAAAGTAATGTTATAGTTAAGTGACTTCAAAAGCTTTAAGGAACTGGTCATCTCATTAAGTAACTGCTGATGAACAAAGGTAGCAAAAATAACAGAACTCTGGCATGCTGATAATAAAGTCTTGGCATATAAAAAAAATTCCACAAGAATGCTAGCATTGAGGCACTATTAAAGAACACTTAATATCTAGGCATGATGACCTATACTTAATAAGGCAACTAATAAAACATTCAAAGTGACATCAATGCTGGAAATATAATGGAAAAATGATGTGAACCCAACCTGTAAGTTGTAACAGAAAAATACTGTTAGATGCCACTGTAGATGTACTACAGAAAACCCGATTTAACTCCTTGATAGAAATTAGAAAGTTTACCTGCATATACTGCATGGGTGATACAGACTGTGAAATGCTACATACGGTCCTCATACTGGCATTTTAAATGGAATCTTAAAATAATTGGAAAGGCTGCAGAGAACTGTGGAAGTGATCTGACAGTTCAAAATACACTTTAGGGATAGATTTAGGGAGCACCAAGTTTCCTGTCGGAGACTGAAATAACAGTACTTTTAGCTTATTAGTACCCTCCCCTTTTTTTCCTTTAAATTTCTTATTCTTGTGGGGCTTTTTGGTGCAACACACCAAAACTTACTAAGGACCTACTGGCTGAAGTCCGAAACCAAGCAAATTTGAAGTCGAAATTAAGCACATATTGTTAAGAATGCAAGAAGTTACAAATAATATGCACTCCTGCTCCTATCTCCTGATTTTGTTAAATCAAGGTCAGATGTGTTTCTAGAAGGTGCTTTTATCATCACATTTGAATTCTCAGGCTTGTTTTGGTGTAACAGAAAGCAATGGAGTATAAGTGAGATACAGGTCAGACCACATCTATTGGTCCCCTCAGTGAACTAAATATATGCTATCCTTTTTGTCAATCTTCCTAACACCTTGCTTTTGTATGCACTCAGTCTCAAGTGGAGTTGACTATTTCTGTTTGCTTATGAAGGTTTCGTAATTTCATGGCTGACCTCTCCGTAACATCAGAAATACTACTGCTGAAGTTTTTAAAAGGGCATTCACAATAATTAACAGATTTTGCTGTGTCCCCTGCCTTCCCCAGCTGCATTTCAAGGTGCTTTGCTAATACACACAGTTTCCACAACTTCAATATGGGAACTGAAGAACTTGAAGTACAAGGATAAAAGTCTTATTCTCAAAATTGTTGGAGTATAATACTATTTGAAGTATACAGCTTTCTTTCAAATTTTGCAAAAAAAATGAAAGTGAAACACAAGCATGCTCCAGTCTTCTGAAATAACATTGTTTACCTCTTCAACTTGGCCATCTTCACCCCCATCTTTTTCTTTGTCTTCCTCTTCATCATCATCATAGTCTTCTTCCTCATCTTCTTCTTCTTCAGATGATGTGTCCCCTGCTCCATCAACTTGGAGAACCAGTGGTGCTTGTGGTTGGGCCTGTTGTTGTTGTGGTTGCTGCTGACCAGCTGCAGGAATCTGTGCTTGAGCTGGTGTAGGGGCAGCCACTGTTGTAGGTATGACTTGTGTTTTATTTCCTGTAAACAGGATCTGCTGAGGCTGAATAATCACTCCTGCCTGCTGGGAAATCCCTCCAGGGATAGGAGCCAAAACCTGATGGAATATTATTGCAAGTACTGTGGCTGCTAACAGACAACCACATCACTTACTCACAGAAAACAATTAAAGCATATCAATCTGACTTGCGCTAATTAGAGAAACAAGAGTTACAAATATTCCACCTATATCAGATACATAATTTAATATTCAATAACGTATCTTCTTTCACTACCCAGTGTTCATTTTCTGCATTTTGCACTGCTAAATCTAAGAAAACCTACTGTCTTTCCATTCTAAAATGCTAGCACAACCTCCACACCTGAGTTCCAAGCACAGCAGAGGAATGTTTCAATTCAAGTAAAAGATAATATTTAAACCCTCTCTATAAAATATTTAACTTTAAACTCTCTACAAATTGTTACTCATGCATAAACTGCAGAACTGTGACACAATGCTAAATTCGATGCTTACACAGTCTGGATACATGGTTGACCTTGTAGCTGAACAGAAGTCCTTGTAAAACATACTGTATTCACTACTAGAATAACCAAGGGAGATGTGCATGTTTGTTTTAGGTATTTTCTTCTATATGTTATGTGACACAAAATATTTTAACCATTAAACACATTTTTCAAAGGATGCAGACTAGGATTATGCACATAATATAATTGTCATCAGGGGACACACAAAAGAAATTTTAAACTCCAGCCAGTCAGAATTTGGCAAGAATAAAAATGACACTGAAAGAGAGATTTCAGAATTGTTCATTTTTAAAAAAGACACTTCTTAACACAATTCTCTTTCCAGTATACAACTTCCAACTGTGTGTTCTATTTCAATTTTCTCACAAAAATGCAAGCCTCTTTAGTAATTACTATCATGTTTTTTCTCTCAAGTGTACCTATTCAAAAATTTTTCTTTACCTGCTGTATAACAGGTGCTTGTACTCCACCAGGCTGCATTTGTGGTATGACCTGCTGCTGTAGAACAACTGGCTGCTGTGGCTGAATGATATACTGAGCTCCATTTGCAGTTCTAACTACTTGGAGGATCTGGCCTGTAATAAAATAAGTAACAAAATAATCAAACGCAGAAATTCGGTTTTAAAATTATCTTAGTTTAGAAGCTTGTTTCCTGGAAGGACACCAATGACAAGTAAAGGAGAGCATTTATGTTTCACTTTCATCACTGAAAAGATAATATTCTATGGCAGCTGTGTCAGAAACAAAGAACTAATAGGGTTGTTTACTATGTAAACATGACTGTGAGGTATGCAATCCAAAAAGTCTAATCCTTTAGCACAGCACAGTATTTCAAATATTAGCACCCACTTATGGACATAGCACATGTTCCAACAGATAAGATTTTACAGATAGACAGACAAATGAACACATACCAAAACGGGAACACAGGTATTCACACCACAAAAATTCTATCCCCTGCTAACACTGTGGTATTTCCAGGGTCCTGAGAGATGATGTCCTTTCCTCAGATTCTTTTCCCTCCAATTACCACTTTACAAGAATTTCCTCTATGCCTAATTTTCTTTCCAATATTATCCTGCAATTGCCTTTTTGAAAAATCTGTCTTTACACTTTTTACCCACCTCTCCTTTCTGTTCCCATAATGCCTGTACTCAATTTTCTTATCCTATAGTTTTCTCATTTTATACCTTTCCTCACTTCACAAAATACGTCTGAAACTCACACACCTCTGGAGACAGCTTCCAACTCTGAAAAGCAAGAGCTACGATATATTCCAACATTAGTTTTTCACATTTCTAATCAGAAGGATGGAGAGAAAGAAGAATAAAATAGATTAGATAATCCTGAACTTCATACCTGATTTTATTTCCTGTTCGCCCTCTACAACAAAATGCAAAGCCCTATTTACTGAAATAACTAAGTACATCTGAAAGAAGGGACTTGTTTAAGAAAACATACTATAAATATTTATACCTGAAAAAAAAAATATGACCATAACAAAAATAACAAATAATGTGAGCTGCAGATTATTCTATGCTATGACAAACATAGATGTGCTTCCTTAAAAATTCAAAATATTTTAATTTCTAGAACAGCTCAACTACCTATCCATTAAACATTCAAATGTTTAATGCAAGGAAGTTAAGTCCCAGGTGATTCTGAGCAGATTAGATAAATTACTCCAGCAAAAGCAGCAAATGATTCTAGAAAATGAGCTTTCTCAGATCTTTCTTTACTCTCCACGCAGACTAGATCTGGAATCGAGTTTATAAAATCAGCATAATACAAAAGTACATGAAGCATCAGATATGCTGTTCAGAAAAGCAACATTTAATTATATTCTAAATGCATAGCATGACAGTATTTAAAAATTATAAATCTTAAATAAATTAGCATTGCCAGAAAAATTAGAAATTCCACTCTGTGTGCTCAGCAGCTATGAGAAACCTTAAGACATTCCTCATCTGAAGTCACAGATGAAGTGACCCTGCCCTTTTATAACCAGTCTAGTATCTGTGCTCAGATCATGCACCACAAGGCTCAGAAATATGCAAAGGGGAGAGACAGCAATGCCTGTCTTCTTGCTTCATGTGCTTCCCTAAAATGTGGGGTCAACTTGCATAGTATCTAACCCACACCGTTGTTAGGTCAGAACCACAAGGTTGGCAAGGCTAGCAAGTCAGCAAGCAAAAGAGCCCAGGAGTCTAGTGAAGAAACTGCACTACCTTGTAAGGGTAGATTCCCAGGTTCTACATTTTAGCAATATATAGCAGGGAGTAAAATCCAGAATTTCTCCCTCCCAAACACCCTGAAAACCACTGTTTGATCTCAGTGTTAGGACAGTTACCTGAATTTGTAAGTATCTGCTGAACAGGAGTAACGCCAGCAGGGAGAGCCAACGTAGCTGCAGTGGCTGCAGCACTCTGAAATACAAGAAAAGCTCTTTAACCACAGACTTTATTGCCAGTGTTTCACCTCACAACATACTGCCTGAAAATATGTACCTTTTTATTGCTGTTTACAATGTTTGCACACAAGCTTCTGAAGCTATTGAAACACAGGCATTAATCAACTGCACATTATACTACATATAAAAATTATTTTCCTTCTTTAATAGGAAGAAGACTGAAGCAACAATCACAAAGCATCACACCTTAACCCAGCTCCACATGGTTTCTTGGTTTATCTGCAAGCTCAGCTTTTTTTTTTCCTTCTCTGCTGATCTACTAATAGAGTACAACGCTGCATTGCTCATGTGGCACGTTTACTTACACTTTTTCAAAGCAGCTAAAGATATGGGCCTACAAATCTGAAGAAACATAAGGTACTGAAGCAATGGTCGTGTTTGCCTGTCTTGTTTTCTCAAGGAGCAGTAATCAGGTTTTCACTTTTCTTCATTCCGTAAATGATTTGCATTTCAAGTCCCACGTAACACAGCTCTTCTGAGTGAATATACAGATACAGTGTACTGACTGTTTGCAGAATGACTAATTTTTTCTCTCAAGACAGCTGGTTAGAAGAGAAAGCTGAAGACTCTCAATGGGTAATGATTTGAACTTACAAGGAAACTCCAACAAAATTATGGGAGCTCCAAACACAAAAATCTGCATTAAGTCCTTAACTCGCCAAGGGAGATGGACTTCTCCAGAGGTCTCTCCATTTCAAGGGTCTAACTTCGGCTGCCTATGGAAGAGCCTCCCCTTCCCCACTATAAAGGAACCAGGCCTGATTACTCTTGGCTACTGAAAGGTTTTAAGCTTTATTACTCAGTAGAGCGTGTGCATGCTTCCTGTTTATAAGAAACGTGATCTCCCCCTATTGACTGGTCAATGTAGTAGTGCCAAAAACTGCCAAAATCAGGGATCACCAAGCAAAACTGTAAAGTGTTCAGATGCATCCTCACAGCCCAGACAAAGGCAAATGAATAAACTCTCATTACTCTCTGCCTTCCAAGATATTCAAGGTCTGTCAGATCCACTCTTTAATACCAATTTAAATGTTTTTAACAGACACACACAATTCCGAATTGATTCTGTAACTATTTACTGAACAGTAGTCTTCTCCAGTATACAATTAATCCACATTTTGACAGCAGCAGAGTTTTAAAAGCATGGCATACTCATTTTTGCAATACCCATCAACAAGCTCTGACTTAATGAGACAGAAAAAAAAATATTTAACTGTTGGACTTGGGAAGTTACAAACCTCATTGAAATGATTGCAAAACATAAAAGGAAAAGGTAGATGTTAGAATCACAGAATTGTTTCGGTTGGAAAAGACCTTTAAGATCATCAAGTCCAACCGTTAAGCTAACCCTGCCATCCTACCACTAAACCATGTCCCTAAGCACCACGTCTTACCCGTCTTTTAAATACCTTCAAGGATGGGGACTCCACCACCTCCCTGAGCAGCCTGTTCCAATGCTTAACAACCCTTTCAGTGAAAATTTTTTTCCTAATGCCTAACCTAAACCTGCCCTGGAGCAACTTGACGCCATTTCCCCTCGTCCTATCACCCGTTAATGCGCTCTCGGCTTCTGGGTAAATGACGCTATCTGAGTAATGAAGTTTGGGGTCTTTTCTATAGTAAGGTCAGCAGGTAATGGAGAAGTGAAGGCTAAGCAAGCTGCTGCAGCTTTGACTAATCACAAAACTTTGTTTCAGGTGCTTTTACCATAAAAGTGGTAAGAATGTAATGAATTCCTGTCTTAATACACATATTTAGCTTTTATTAGCTGTTGTTTTCATCGCTTTGCAAGCAGTTGTGGTTTTTTTTTTAATTAAGCCAGGGCGTCTAAAGCAAGATAAGATAACCAAAATGAACTGCTAGAGATAAAAACTGCAAGAAAAGGGTAAATGACCAGACTCAGTCTTATATGCTATTACAATATTAATCAAATTGATATGACCAGAAAAGATCGATCTGAATTGATACATAATGTCTCTTTGATATAAGCTTAACTTTCAGAGCAGTTAATGTTTTTTCCTGCATTTAGCAAATACAGCGTGCTTGTGTCAGTTAACAGCGTTGTGTTGGTATATGACGGGCACATCATCATGCAGATTCATACCAACAGTACTCCGATTCCTGATTAAAAAAAAGTTTTCGTTAAACGTATCTAAGGCAGAGGATCAAGGTAAATCCTAGATTTGTTATCAAAACTGAAGTCCTCGATTACTGATCCTACATTGTCAGTGCAGCAGCAAAACTCAGAAAGATGGCAGCTTTACCAGTGTCCTAAATTACTTTTAAGCATCTGATGACTAACACCAGATTTGTGTTTACTGTTTAATCAAAACAACTTGCATAATGACAGCGTATGCATGTATAAACTTCTCCTTTTCTTACCATGCCTGACGTATTCATGTGCGGTATCAGCTTGGAATCTGGCATAATAACCTGCTGCTGAGGTGCTAGAAACAAAAAAATAGCATTTCATGAAAACTATGCGGTCAGCCCAAAATAACGTCTAAGCCAGAGTAACAGAAAGAACATCACCCAAACATCAGCTGAGCTTCATACAAAAACAGCTACTGAGCAGTCTCTGATCTTATTAAGTTTTACTCTCAAGACAATATACAACATCAGCTCTGAGAGGTGGTACGGCTTTCCAGATCTTATTTCAAGGGCTTCGGTTACCTATTCTGACCCTAGGTAAAACACGATTTAAAATACATTTCTGAAATTAAATGTATTAGTGAAGTGTTGATAAACTTGATGATGGCCAGTATCAGATTTCTCCAAAAACATCAACTGAGAGTGGTTAACTCTTAAAACAGACTTAAGCAAGGACTGTTGCAAGATGAAGAGTACGTTAACAGGATGCAGCGGTTAACCTGAGTTAGGTCTAGCTGGCATAGCTGTTAGTGTAAGCTCATGATTTTTACTGTCTTTCTAATGTAGCAGAAGCAGATGAAATATGATCAACCACCTGTCCCAAACAACAAAATCATTTTAGTGTGCTAAAGAAAACAGATAGCTAAACTATGCAAACAACCTGTTGATCACCTAGAAGTGTAAAAGTGTCCACGTCTATGGAACAACGAGGTTGCCAGTACTAATATCAGTGACAGTAAATTGGAAAACGACAGAGCAATTTGAACAAACTAATCATCAAGGTATTCTCCATACAATCCTATGGACAAGGACACTTAAGAATACTGGGGATAACAGTTTCTGGAAAAGATTCTGGGGATGGAAGCCCCACAACCTTGCACCAAGAACCGAGGCCATCTCTCCAACTTTCAGGGAAACCAAGGAAGGCAAAAGAGCCCAAGGAAATTTTGTGACCCTGTGCCAGGACCACACACAGGACAGCAGGATGTCCTGATCTCTCTGGGACTGCACTAGGAGCTACTATACCATCACCCCCATAAAACAGGGAAGTCAAGTAATTCATAAAACTTGATGTCTGTGATTAAAGTGCTTTAATATCCTAATTTCATTTAGCTTCCACATTGTCACTTGGTCACAAGCCACAATATTGGGCAACAATAAATCCATGTTAAGTGTATTACTGTAGGAGGATCTTACTCTATCCTAAGACACAAATGGGAGGACAGGGGCCTCCATATTAGTGGAGGGAAACCTGGCCAGTAGAGTCACAGCTATTCAGCTAAGGAGCCACTAGAGGACTTGGTGAGTAGACATTCCAGGCTTGGCTGACTGTAACTGAAGCTGAGACACCAGGATCATTTGAAGCCATGTGTACTTAGGGGTCTTAATCTCCTAATTGATTTTATCCCAACAGTCAAAACTGATTTATGTCCAGCCAAAATACAAAATACTTAAAGAACAAACAAAAAAACCCACACCAAGGGAAAAAAGCCCTAACAGCAGGTTCTTGTCACATTAGTTCTCTTCTGTTTTGCATATATGGTGGTTGGGTTTTGTTTTGGTTTTTGGGGTTGGTTTTTTTTTTTTTTGGGGGGGGGGGGGGAAGACAGGGGGAAGGAATCGACTCATAGCTATCTTTTGTGCCTATGACAACATAGGTTCCATGAAATCTGATAAAAAGACTGAAGTCTGTGACCGACTACCACAGATATTTTATGCCATCATTTTAATAGCACACTGAAAACTCAACTAAAGCATTTCACACGTAGCAAATTTGTTTACACAGCATATATACAGTAAAATGCAGTAGTATTTATCTTAGTTTTAAAATTAAATTCTAAGTGGTGAAAATGTTTTCCTTAAATTATTAATGGAGAATACACAAGACAATAATTACAAGACACAATACTGTTATGGCTAGCTAAAATATACCTTGAACATCCACACCTACGCAGTGTGCCATCTTTTAAGACCACAAAAATGCCCAGCCATTATGCTTTTCACTTGAAACCTGCTCTAACATGAAAAAACATCACCTACGTATACTCAGACTGTTGTACAAGTATTTTTCACGTCCTAGCATCCACTTATACTAAACAATAATATATTTTTTAAGTTAATTTGCTCCTAAAGACATTATTATCTCATGACTAAATTGTCAACTGCATACGTATATTGGCTTGAAATTACAGAGGTGCTAATGGACTTCTGACAGAATCCAGAAGTCATGTTATCCTGAAAACATAAGTTACATAGTAGAAGACCAAGAGAAAAATTCAGCTTTTCCAAAATCTTCTGAAGAATATGACTAACACAAATACCAAGATATTTTTCACCAAGACAGCCATCTTGACCCATTAAATAGAGGCAAGTAGAGACAAAGTTTAACATAAAGACACAAAGTTATCCATCAGATAAAAAGCCTGCCCTAGATTTAGAATATGCTAAGGAGTTGGTCTTTTGCCAGAGTGTTTAGAGGGTAAGTCTGACCTTGCTGAGACGCTGGAATAAGGACCTGTTGTGGCTGAGACTGCTGCTGCATAGTCTGCTGCGGCTGAGGTTGTGTGTGATGGTGGTGGTGATGATGCTGCCTGCAACAAAAGCTGCTGCTCTTCTGAATGGAAGCCATCTACAGCCTTGGACTGCATCAGCTTATTTTCCCACAGCTAGTTTGGAAAAGGAAAGAGAAATCTCTGTGTACAATTTTTACTGAACAGGATTTGTAACAATATGAAGACAGTACTCCAAAATAGAATTTGTTTTCACTGTTTATCTTGTGCAGTCTACTTAGCCAAAAAGCCCTTGGGCAAATACAGACTGAAGAGAGAACTCCACAGAGGTAATATTTTAAGAGGAGGAATTAAATATCCTTTAAGAATTATCAGTCCAAGCTTAAGCTTTAAAATTCTTTCTTCCAAATTCTTTCCTCACAAACCTAATAGAAACATGAATAGAGATAAACTGGTAACTTTAAAGTAGCCTTCAAGTTTTCACTTCTCTACCTTCTTTCTTTCTTACCTGTTTAATCACAAAAATAATTATTTATTACAGCTTTCCTCAAGCCGTTTCTTCCTCAGTAACTAAGTTGCTTGAAGACTACTGCCTCATAACACACTTCAACAGAGACTACCAGCATACCAAAGATAATGCCTCAGTACAAGCATTTACACAGTTTCTACCACAATACCAAATTCAGCTTCTCCAGCCTCTTCAGTTCTTGATGTCAGCTGACATGTCTCTCAAGAAAAGCAACAGATGCAAAAAAAAGCAGCTCTTGCAAAAAGACAGCAATGCAAGTAGTCATAATTCATCAGAGTCAAAAAGACTACAGGCACCCAGGACTCCTGATTTCAAATCCTGCTTAGGGTTCCCCAAGCCTTCCTCTTCAATACTTTGTTTTCCTTATTGTCTTTTTCCTCATTCAGTCTTTTCTGACATCATTTGCAGAACACATCTGTGCACCAAGGTGCTTTTCTTAAAGCGCTCACTCAGCTTCCACCAAGCCAGGTCATAGTTTCATGGAAAAGTCTTCACCCGTTTCTGTCTAGCCAAACCCAAAATTCCTTTCCAACTCCATCCATTTTTTAATACTTCAAAAATACTGAGAGTGCAGGATGTCCGGCTTTCTGAAGATGACCTTATCCAACAGCTGAGATAAGCAGGCACCTACTTACCCAGTTTCCTTTTACTTTATTTCTTCCCTTTCAGATACCCATTAGAGCTCAGGTCAACATCCTGCCTTTTTTTTGGACCCTTAGTTACAGTTCGAACCCACCGCATGTAAAACAATCCTGTATCAGAGAGCTTCAGAAAAGTGTGATGCACACAATGCAATTTATTACATACCACTCCCCCAAACAATACTTCTGCAAACCACATACCACACATGCAAAAACCTGACCACGCATCCAACAACGCAACTCCTCTTCTTGACAAAAACGTCAAGCAGAGCAGGCATTATCTTTTTCCTGCAGAGAAAGCTTAAGAATTGTCTGCCTCTAAACTAAACATGTTCTCCCCTTTATTTTTTAAATATATAATGTTTTGGGGACTGAAATAACACTGTGAATTCGGATGCCTGCTGCTAGTTTATGTCAAGTTTGACGTGCCAGATTAGGGAAAGTGAAAGAAGGTGAGCAGATCTTTCTATAAAGCAGTGTAACTCAAATGATATGGGGCTACAGATATGCAGATTAATACAGTGCTTAGCTAACTAAAAATTAGTATTTTTACTGTGTACAACAGTAAGCAGATCTGAAAACCAATAGCTGTATTGGTCTATTAAAAAAACCTTAAGTTGCAACTTACTGTTTTGAGTTCCATAAGAACTTGTTCATCCACTCCTTCATCCAGAAAAACTTCTCTGACATCATTGATGACATCTTCAATTACAGACCTGTACAATTTAGGCTTTAAGAAAAAAAAAAAAAAAGGGTAACTAGTCAGCATTACTTTGAAAGAAATTTATCTCTTTAACGTTAAAATAAAGATTTTCCCCCACAGAAAACCTCTTGAAAACTGCATTACAGAATACACTGCATGCTTCCTAGTCACTAAAATCTGCAAGGAGGTATAAATCAGCAAGAACAGATCAAACAAGGTGAAAAAGGAAGTGTTCACTGCCTTTTGTGACATAGCTAAGTCACAAGAGTTTTTAAGCCACGAGGACTCTAATTCAAAACAGAGAAAAGAAGATTGTTTTCCATTCAGTAATTTGTTTCCTGCTTGCCAATGCACACACTGAATATGCAAAAATATTCGCACGTGTCCAAAATATTCATGCCAAAGAACATTAAAAGTTCAAAATTATATTAGATAAATACAGAGAAAAGAAACTTGTTAGCGCTTGCTAGCTCAACAGGAACCAAACATGGCTCAGAACGATCTCGAGCTGAAAAATGTTTAAGGCTCAGAAAACTGGAAGCATTCGTGTGAAAGTCTTGTTCTTCCTTATACATCTGTTCAGAGAAACTATTGAAGACAGGATATTAGGCTAGACAGACTTCTGTTTTCAATCAGTACATATGTTTTTACATTAGAATTTTTTTCAGGGGGAAATACTACAAATACATTGTTATTCTATTACACTGATTTCATGCCTAAACTGTCAATGATAAAGCGAATTGTCAATTCACTTTAGGTTGCCAGAAGAAGCTGTGAAGTCTCTTATCCCTGTAGATACTCAAAAGCCATCTGGACGTGGTCCTGGGCAACCTGCTCTATGTAGCCCTGCTTGTGCAGGGGTGTTGCAAGACGACCTCCAGAGGTCCCTTCCAGCCTCAACCATTTTGTGAATTTTAAAATGCAGGTACAATTTTTGAAAGAGAATATAAATACTTAACCTTATCAACTAAAGCACAAAACCTAATGCATGGGACCAAAGGATAACTGTACTACGCATGTGCTGCACCTTTTAAACAGTACAGCTTGGACCTCTCTACACATATGTGAACCTCAACGGTATTTTGGTTGGGTTTAAATGCCTGTGCTATCTAATTGCAAGGCAGCACTATGAGCTCTAAATTAGGGTTGATCAAACTGCAGCCTGTGAACCATATATACTTCACTGACCAAGGCTGTTCCTCGGGCAAGGGTGAGACCATTTTTAAACTGATCTGAAAGCAGCTACAACTTTCTGTAAGCTGACATCTTTCTCTACCCCATTCCGTAACTTCCTTAAGGATGGATCCTATCCATAAATCCCAAATGATGCCACACACATCAGATACGTTGTATGTAGGCAAAACAATCATTCCGTACTTGTGCAGTAAGTTTGGCACCCCAGGAGGGCTGTGCCTCCTGTACACACGCAGAAATCCTGCACCAAGCATATGCAGTTAGTCCAGCAGTGCTGGAACTACAAAAATTTACTGCACGCACTTGAAACATTTATTTTATGTATATGCAGTTGCTTAATGCATCCCAGAAGCGTTGAAATTGTTACAGATATGCTAAAGATTATATTGCACACATGTTACGGAATTGCTATGCCTATTGCTATGGAATAATGGAGGGGGAATGGCAACACATGATTTACTAGTCCAGGAAAAAGCCGAGCGGCCAATAAGCACAAAAAAAAAAGTTGTATATCTTTGCTTTTAAATGCTTTAAAAAAACCCAACCAACCAAACACCAAAACCAAAAACCTTAAAGAAATGCATTGATATTGCAAGGCAAGAAAAGAACCTATTTGGAAACCTGGAACTAAGAACTAACCAGTTTGATGGCTGCTTAATGCATTATATCCTTAGTGTTTAAAATGAACTCTGCATTGGGGCGTACTAAAGTGATTCTTCTTACAAAAAAATCCAAACAAACAAACAACAACAAAAAAACCAAGGGAAAAAAGAAGAAAGAAAAAAAAAAAGAAAAAAAAAACCAACAAAACCCAACACACCACTGTGTTATTGACCACACATCAATATTTTGGCAAATGGCATGCTATCAGCACCCTATTTTTTTTCTTAATTTGATGTTTCATCAATTTGTCACTTTTCAGCTTTAAAACATGCTGCTGTAAATCAAGTAGCTGAAATCTTGGAATTCATCCCTTTGTTGCTTGTCTCTCAAAAAAAATTTCTGGCCTCAGGTAAGAGGGTAAGTTGGCGATCCTTGAAAACTATGTTTACTGCACCTATGTCCAAAACATAACTTCTCCAAAAGAAACAAACCATATCAGACTACTTGCAGATTTGTTTTTTCTTTCAAAACAATACTGCATGCTGATGTACCCAGGCTTCAAATACAGCATTAATTGTGCTTATAGAGACATTTGAAACAGACTTTCAAATCCAGACTACTCTTAAGTGCTAGTATTTTAAATCTGTGTAGTGAGTAACTTAGAAATACCAAGCATCATTAACAGGATTATTCTTCCACTTACATTTAATTCACAGCAGATGCAAAAAGACATTCTACTTAGTAACACTAAGTCCTATTATTCCTATAATTAAACAAATTGCATAAAGCTCACACGATTCAACTAGCACAGAAATGCTACTTAACCTATTCCGTACATTGTTCCTTATTGTATTAAAAGTATCTGTTTCTTAATGCCAAAACCACATTCTGCAAATCAACGTGCTTAACCTCAGGCATGTGAGTTAATTTAAGTCAAGAGAACTACCTTTATGTCTGAAATTACAATCAAAATTCCTGCAGGATGGAGACTGCATCTTCTCCTCTCCTTAAATCTGCTATCAGGTCCACTTTTCTAATAAAAACAGATTTTACACAAAGAGGCCCTAACAATTTCCAACAGCAGTTACCTCCTCCTACCTCCAGAGACAGGCATTTTTGTAAGGTCTATTCACAAAGCCTCCTCAGCCTATAAAGCCCTAGGAAAAAACATCAGCATTCAGATAGAACAAACTGACCCTACAGCCGAACAGTCTGCTTCGGAGTATTTCCTTTTTTCCCTGGGTAGTAAAGAAAAAACCAAATTCAAAGAGCAGGATACTGGTTTCTAGTGTCCAGCATTAGTTTAGCAAGAGAGCAGAAAGGCAGGTTAGGAGCATAGATGTTCACTCTGCCATTGGTACAGCATCCTTCTGCACAACTCCCAACAGCCCAAGCAAGTGGCTAAGCCCCCAAAAGACAACAGCACCACAGGGGCGCAGTGAGCCTGGCGCCAATGCAGGTTAAGGAACCCAAAAGCAATTTGTACGTGCATGTATCTCTCTGCCATGAGCCACACTGGATCTAAAGGTGGGTCAGAATTTCTGGATGCTGTTCTAACCACACAGTATTGCAATATGTGATACACTCATGGCTGTATGATCAGAAAAGGGAACAGAGAAGAAAGCATCTGCACACTTATAATGAAACAGCGTCTGTCTGATTTTACCTATACACGTTTACGTAACACGCAGAAAAATCCTGTCCGGTTGAAAACATTCTCTTGAGTACGCTCCTACCGAACACCCTGCCCAGGCAGACGCAACGCCTTCCACAGAGGGAGCAGAGATGCCTTCCAGAGCCATCCACAGCCAAATTTCGAAGAATATCACAGAACGCTCTTTTCACACCTCAACAGAGGCAAATCCAGTAAAACTACAAAACAGCCTTAAGCCCTGGTCTTTAAAAGGAAGCACGTTGTATTGTTTCAGATACACACTAAGTGTTGGCTTTAAGCATTATTTATATGATGCTCAAGCTGTTTATACAAACCACCTAAGACTCTGGAACTGAATGACGAAATTGTTTTCATACACTGCTTACTCAAAAAATAAACATGGGAATACAATTACTGAACAAGTCTAAAGATGGCATAGCAGGTGAGTTAAGCTTTCCAATAAATTTCTGCATTCAGTCAGAGAAAGCAATGGGAACATAATGGAAACTTTAAAGATTCCTATTAAAATAATCACACTTTCATCTGGTTTATATTAAAGTGCCTGCCTCATAATGAGTACGTTGCTGTAAACTTCAGGCTCTTTTAAGAGCAAAATACTCAAATCACTCTTCAATAAACACTGTTCCAAACACTTACTATAGATTAAAGACAACAATTAAAATTCCTGATTTATTAGATACAACCACAAACACATAGAAAAGATTTGCAAATCTAGTACTTCCCCCTCTGGGAACATAAGGAAACGATTATATTTCACTTTCTCTGTGCATCTTGTAAAGAAAACTCCCAAGTATGGTGACACCGCTACACATGCACGCATACACACTCCAAATCTGAGGAGCAACCAGCAAGCTATTTTAAGAAACGCCACACGCCTTTGGGGGCTTACACTTCCTACATTCCTTCAGTTTCAAGGGTACAAAAAACTGCATCTCTCTGTAATTATTATCACAACGCTCGGGATTTCAGCAGTTTGGGTTTCCAATAACCAACACGTTATGGAGAGAGATTCCCTGGCACGCTTTGTGCATCTGACAGCAGTTTGTTCCTGGTTGCTTCTGCAGTTATCCCTGAAATGTCACCGATCTTTCTCCTGTCTGTGCAGTTACAGCTGGAAGCTGTATGACAGCTAGAAGAGCACACTGTAAAAGCAACTAGTTTTAGTCACAATTACATCAAAGATGTGCGCAAAAAGAAGTAACACGCATCATCAACATCGTGAGCATTGAACTCTGAGCTTCTTCTTTATGTTGTCATGGACTGTTAACGTCTTATATTCGCCCTTTGTTAGGAAGAACAGATCTCTACTAATTCAGATTTGATCTGATGCTGACGTGATACTACTGACACACTGGGCTCGAAGTCTAGCTTCCTAAAGTTATCACCTGGTTGCAGTATTTCAAAACGTTCCTATTCGTCTTTGGCAACCCTAGGGTAAGCATCGTAATCCTTGGTATTGAATGAGACCCGAGTTTGACAAAGTCAACCATGAACCATTGAAAGGTTTTACTGCTTAACTGAAAATTAGCCTAAAGCATACCTATTTGAAGCAGG